TAATTTATGCTTTTGATAGCGCTTGCTTCCAGATAAGTGGTGTTGGAATTGGAAAGTTGAGAAGACTAAAAACCTTTGAGGCCACGTCAGTAACTTCTACCTTATTCATTCATGGTCCGATAGAAGAAACGCATAGGCTCGCCAAGGGGGCTGGAGCCACGGTACAGAATTTGCCTACTATATGAGAGTTCTAATATATGGTCCATTTAGTACTTCCCTCAATACGAGGCGTATACGGTCCCCTGCAAGGCTCAACCATTAAATATCTATATCTACATCGGCAATAACAAATATTCTGTAAAAGCGGCAAATTATAAGATTGAGGTTTGGTATGTCAATTAAATTCATGTGTTTCAAATATTTTTTTGCAGATTCCTCCTGATGTGTGCTTATTTGCTGTAAATCCTGTCATATCTGGAGGGTTTAGCACACCTTGGATTCTCGGCACGCCATTTATTCGAGAAGTCTGCCACGTTTATGACATAGAAAATAAGAAAATTGGATTCGCGATACCACGCTCGGAATGAAACATGGAAATTTCATGACTTTATTTATTATGATCTTGTATCGTTCGCATACACATTTGTAGTACAGTTCTGAGTTGCTGCAGTCCTAGATTACACAAAGCACAATCAAAATAAGTAGAAAATACGCACATTTTTAAAATAACCATAACTACTTTTAAAAAGTTTAATTTCAACTTTCCTCAACGCACGAAACTTACCAAATCAAAGCAGTTTCTTTTTTGGTGATAGCCATTGTCCTAGTCAAGTTGGAAATAATAGTATGGCGTTCTGCCTACTGGTGTAAATTACGTTGCACAAACATATAGATGCACAATAGGTGCTGTAATTTGAAGAGCCTTGCATTGTGAAGTGAAGGTATTTAGATGTGCACATCTATCTTTACGTCTCTTTTGTAAGCAGCTTTCATCAAGAAATTTTTAACATTTTACTATATAGATGTGCAGAAATCTAAACAGCTAGATTTGGATTTTGTTGAGAGTTTGAATCAGCTCGTCCACAATATGGAAATTACCAAGAGCATTCTCCGATTGAAAAAAAAA